AAATTATGAAAAATATTTTCTTGCAAGTTTTTTTATGGAAATAAATGAAGCCTTAAAGGAAATACTTTTTCTTGCTAGGACTCACATTGTCCATACTGAAACAGCGCTAGTGATTTTCCAATGGCAATTACCTCCTCAAACCTACAATTCCATTTATATCAGAAAGAACCCTAAATATCCATGTATAACCCCTCCTTTTTTCTATTTTCTTCAATGAATATGCAACAATAGCTTTCAACAACATATTTTTCTTTGGAGAAATCTCACGTCAAGATATTACTTAATCCTTAAGAGTGGTTTATCAAGATAAACTAGGATAACCATACGAAAAGAATAAGAAAGAATTTTTTTTTTTAAAAAAAAAAGGAATAAGAAAGGAGGGGTCTTGAATTCAAGAGATGCATAATATAAACTTTCTTCCTTTTCTATCTTATTTTTCACAAAAATAATCAATTTAATACATGTATTTGCAAATCAAATCCTCCCAAATTATATTTGTAAGAGTAACAAGGATTACGTAAGTGAAATCTTTAAAAAAAGTTGAAGAAATGATAAAGAAAACCTTTAGAAAACCGAACTCAGTGTTGTTCAGTTTTTGGGACGCACGACGGAACGACAAGGACCTTCATAGGCCTGAGGCCAAAATGGCAGCAACAAAGAGTCTTGCCCAGCTGTTGGCCAATGAAACCACTCCCTAATTTTCATTGGTTATATTAATTTTATTGATCGAAAAAACATTAATGATTTTAATTTATTATATTAATTTCCAAAATCTAAATTCTATTGGATAGATTAAGAAATTATTATATTACATACTAAATAAGCTATGTGTTAAATATAATAAGAATTACGCCTCCAATGAATTATAAAAAAAATATAGTAAGAATACAATATTTTTAAGGATTTTAATTTTATTTGGTTGAAAAAATAAAAATAATTTAATTTTGATTGATTATATTTTACCAATACTCTAAAAACCGGACTGATCATTAAACTGATGAAAGCAGAGGTTCACTGAACTAAAAGGCTCAACTGAATTCAATACGGTTCAACTGAATTTTTATATATAATATTTTTAAATATATTTTTATATAATTAAAATATATAATTTTCAAATAAGAAATAATTTTACAAAAATATAAAAGAAATTATTTATAATACATCCTTTAACTTATATAAGCTCAACCAAAAATATAAAGAAAATATTTCTATACTACATCTTTTAACTATATATAAGCTCAATCATATAAATATCAAGTCCAATTTTAATAAAAAAAATTGTAACTAATCTCATAATATAAAACAAAATAAAAATCTAAATTTACTTTAAAAATATAAGAATAAAATAAAAATAACAATACAAATTGAAAAACAATGCTATATCGCAGGTTCATATCATTGTGTCAATGGATTCAAACAACGGATATTATCATGAAATGAGTATTATTATTATTATTATTAATATATTAATATATTCATATATTAAATATTATTAATTTATTAATTAAAAGACTAATAAATAAAAATATTATTAATTAAAAGCTAATAAATAAAATAAAACAATAATACTATAATAAAATATAAATAGTTATAATGGGATAAATAAAGAAATAAAATATGCACATCTTTTTTACCTTAAAAGAATAGTGTGTATATTTATTTATAGCAAGGAAACCACTTAATTAAGGAAAGAAATAATACTAAAAAAAAGGAAAGGAATATGCCAATAATAACTCATCTCAATTAATGTAAATTCATCAAAATTAAAGAAAGAGGAAAACCTAGGAGAGAGAAAGATCAAATTTCAAAAACAAGTCAGCACTTTGGTCTTCGATTAGAGGGTGTCACCACCGACACCAAGTGAGGTGTCTTTGCGAGCCGCTTCAGGTGAAGGTGGTCCGGCATGAATCTGCACGCTCCATCTTTCTCTCTCCTTTGATTTTCTTTTTATATATATATATATATATATTTACTGATTTGAGTTGAACCGTAGCAATTACTCAAATCGGTTCACCAATTATCATTCGGTTTGTACCGGTTATCAACAATTTTTCGATCTGGGGGATTGACTATCCAAATCGGACTGGACTATTGTCAAGTTTTCGATTAAACTGATCGAACTAGCTGGTCCGATTTTTAGAACCATGTATTTTACTATACAAGGTAGGTATTAAAGATGGTAAGAATATGATATTATTTAATTATTTTAAATATTTATTTATTTTTTATAATATAATTTTCTATAATAAACTTTATTTCTAACCAAAAAATAAATATAATTTATTTATTTAGGTAGAAATAAATAATATAAGATTTATTGTTGCATATAAAAATAGAAAATAAAAAAACTCCATAGAAAAAAAATATAATAGATATCAGTCAAAATAATAATATAATATAAAATTAGGAGATAAATAATGTTAGTATTAAGCAAATATATAATATATTAAAAGATTTTTTATATAATATAAAATTATGATATAATATGTTATATTAGCAAATGATATAATATATTAAAAGATTTTTTTTTCCTAAAAAAAAGCTATCATAAAATTAATTATATGCTCGTAAACTTTAATAAAAAATAAAAAGAAAAATATCAAAATTATAAACATACTCTAGATTAATGTACGTTTGTATTGCGCTCTCTCTTTCTCTCTACCTTTTTAACTCTAATTTTAGTTTGGAGCAACTGTTGTTTATCAGTAGTAGCTCTTACCTTCTACTTTCTACTGTCTCTTTTGCTTCACATTTTTTTGCTTTTTTCTACAACAGATATGTCTTTTTTGTCCCTTTTTATGAGGATTTGTCATTAAATAAAGCTATGATATTTTATTTTATTTGGTTAGAGACTTTAGATCTTAATTTGCAGATGTACATCTTTGATTGATAGAATTTAGTAATGCGGCTTGTTCCTGCGTTGAAGCTATTGCGGTGAAAACTCATATGTATTTGTCATATGAAATTACTAAAAAAGCAATCCCGTTATAGAATATCGAGACGAGTTATTATTTTGGCGTCCAAATCAATTAACGAACTAATTACTGCTATAAAAATTTAGATCTTTTATCAAAATCAACTTTAAGCAGAAAGATTTAATATTATATTTTTTTAGTTGTAGTTTCATTATTCAACAGGGTATGAATTCTTTTATTTCGTTAAAAGATCAATGAACCCTATTAGCTTTTAATAGTAAAGTTCTATGTTGAATTTATATGCTTATTTATAATACTAGATATTATTATTAAATTACATTTTCAAAAAAGAAAATACTATAGATTAATATATCAATCTATATAAATATATAATTTTTAAAGCCTAAATATTTACGTGGGAACATATTAGAATATGGAAATGATGATGTGACATTTTATTTTTTTCATTATAATTCATCTTTTTTCATTTAATAAAAATTAAATTATTTTATTAAATAATGGAGTTACAAACTAATAAATCTAATGGAGGATTTCATTATAATTAATATATTTTGCACTTAATAAATATTAAATTCTTTATTAAATAGTTTTTCTTCTATAAAAAAAACTAATAGAGTTATAATAGATACATATTTAATAAAAATTAATTAAATAATATCGGTACATTAATAAATAGAATAAAATATTAATTTTAATTCACTAAAAGTTATTTCATTATAATTGAATATTTTATACCTCATTTAATTTGAATATATGAAAATTTTAAAGAGAAAAAATAAATAATTAACTAAATATATCAGTTAAATTACAATAATTTATTTACAATAAGTAATTGTGCTAATTAATATTTCAATTCATTACTTGAGAATTTCAAAAAGAGCGTATCATTTTACCTTTCATCATTTAATTAAAATTACATAAGCAAATTAGTTAAATTAAGTAAATTATTTAAATTAAAACAACACAGATATAAATTATAATAATTCTCTTGAAATTAAATTCAATTTAATTAAAAATCCGCGCATCGCGCGAGTACATGGCTAATTATTATAATAATTATCTATGTATAATAATCTTATTCGGATGAATTCCACCTCTCAAATATAAAAGGAAACATGAGGAGAAGGTGGAGAAGTATTATATGTACATTACTTGTTTGGCCCATAATTTAAATTCATAAAAAAAAGAAAAAAGAATTGGTGTACTACTTTTTAGTTTTCGTAATGCAGAAGAAATGGAAATATGATATTATTATCATAATGGTGGAGATCAACCCTAAAGTCATATTTTCATCATTATCATTAATTTTACATTATTTTTTAAATTAATAACGAGGTCACATATTTTCATGCCACCCCCATGTGTATAATAATAATAATAATAATAATAATAATAATAATAATAATAATAACTAGATTAATTCACATTAATTTTTTGAGTATGATATTTTGATTATATATTTTAAACACAATTCATTTTGTTTACATTTGATCTCTATTTAAATAAATTCTTAAATTTTTACTTAACTTTATAAATTAGGTTTTATTTTTACTTAAATTAATATCATAATATACATTTAATTACAAAAAATACAAATTATTAATATTGAATTCAAAAATACATGTAAAACTAAATATAAATCAAAATTTTTAAAACTTTCAAAATCAGAATTATTACAGTCTTCTCCCCTTAAACAAACTTGTACTTAAACTTTAATTAAATTTTATTTGGTAGTATAAGTTGTATATTTTAAAATTACATAGCCTCAAATCTCAAGCAGTTCACATAATGTTGGCTGTTAGTCAAACCAATCAGAAAATGATTTTTTTTTTTAAATGTTGTTTTATTTTATTTTTTTTCTAAGTGTGGTCTGAAATATTCTCGCTTGAATCAAAATAATATTTTTGATTTGTTTAAGTATATATAAGTAAGTTTTTTCCATATATATTGCTCCTTTGGTTAAGACTTCTATCATAATGCCACAAATTGAGGGTCCTAGCCTTAGTTTTATCCCAACTTTATAACTAACCAACCTGTTGATTGCGCTGCTCATAGCCCCTTACCATGGCTTCTTCAAGCTCAGCTGACCTTCTGCTACACCAACTTCCCAAGGAGAATTTCTGGGATCTTTCTGATCTTCGTCTGTGGGAAGGTGCTTGGTATCCAGAGGAGATTTTACGTGGAGCAATGACTCTACAATCTCACTTTCAAGCACTTGACGGAGATATCATAGTGACATCGTTCTTATATAAAAACAGGCTCAACATGGCTCAGAGCCCTCTGTTTTAGCATCATGAACGCAAAACCTAATGAAGAAGAAGAGAAAGACACTCTAGCTGAAACCCCTCCCGATTCTTATGTTAGAAACTTAGAAGCTCAAGTTTATTTAAAAGGCCATTGTCCTCCTGATCTATCAAATATGCCTTCTCCTGGACTTTTTCACAGTCACTTGGCGTACAATTCATTGCCAGCTTCTATCAAGAATTCCAACTGCAAAATGGTGTATATAACCAGAAATCCCAAGGACACTTTGGTTTCAATGTGGCATTTCTTCAACTCCACCAGGACATCGGAACAAGAGTCTTACCCATTTGACAAGGCCTTTGATAGTTTCTGTCAAGGGATTGTTCCTGGAGGGCCATTCTTTGAACATGTTTTACAATATTGGCATGAAAGCTTAAGAAGACCTGACAAGATATTGTTCCTCAAATATGAGGAGCTCCAAAATGACCCAAAAGAGCAAGTTAGGAAGTTAGCTTCATTTCTTGGAAGGCCATTTGCTAAGGAAGAGGAGATTGACAAGGTTCTGGGAAGGTGTAATTTTCTGAGGCTCAAGAACTTGGAGATTAACCAAAAAGGTACAAGTTCAATGCTTAATCTGCCTCATGGTGCCTTCTTCCGGCGCGGTGTTACTGGGGATTGGAAGAACTACCTCACTGCAGAGATGTCTGAGAAACTCGATCAGATTACACGCACAAAACTGTTAGGAATCAGCTCTGATACCAGTTGTTGGGTATTAGCTCTGATACCACTCTTGTTAGGCCCTTTCAACCAATTAAGAGAAAATTAACGCAGCGGAAAAGTAAAATTGTGACACACAGAAATTTACGTGACCACTCTGTTTAGGCCATATTCAACTCAATTTAAGAGAAATTAACAGCAGCGAAGAAAAGTAAATTGATGACACACAGAAATTACGTGGTTCACTCCTCAAACCGTTTAGGGCTACGTTCCGACGGACAAAATCCGGAATCAGTTTCTTCACTAATTAAAACAATAAGTAGTACACAGAGAGTAATAATAAAAATAGTGGCAATCCAAGTGTTCCAAAAACACTCTAAATAATTTCCTCACCCTCACTATTTTTCTCACCCCTAATTTTAGGAAACTCATCCTAAAACTAGAAAACTCTCTCGCTACATTTTTTCTCTTCTTTCTTCTGTGTATATTGTGTGCTCTGCCTCTGCCTCTATTTATAGGCAGGTTAACGCGTTTAATGAGCCGTATACAACTTAATCAAGTCACCGCCTATGTACACCAATTCAAAGCCATCACTGTTGAACTGGCTGCTCCTATTTCTTTTTTACTTTCACACATAACACGTTTTGCAGCCAACTTTTTACTTTCACACATAACACGTTTTGCAGCCAACTTTACTTCCTTCCGTTTTTAACTTTAGTTCGTGGGTCCCACTTGAGTGGGCACACAACCACAACAAAAACTTGAGGGTTCTGGTCTTGATATATGAGATTTGAGACTCCTTTCTGCAAGTTTCATAAATTTGTATTTTGTGATGTACCGGTTCATAGCTGACAATTTACAAAAATGGTGTGAAGAGAAATAATAATGACCTAAATGGTGTGATTTTGATTTTAAATTGGTCCTAATAAATAAAGAAAGACATTTTAATATAACAGTTTATAAAGAGATTACATTTGGTCGTAGCAGATGTACCAAGACCACTGTTGATGTAACCGTTTACCGTTGGTGCGAATAAATAAATAAACACAGTTTAATTTTAAATATTACAGAGCAAGTCAAAACATAATTTAGTAGTAACCATGTGTACGACGTTTCAAATAATTTTATATTCAAATTTCTTTCCCCAGCTTTCGGCATCCTCTCCTCTTTGCGGTTTAGGTAATGACTTCGGACATGGCCGGCTCCCAAGGCTCGAGAATGAATTCACTGCCATATGGCTAACCTGCGATTGTTAGCATGCAGGCGATTATTAGCCATTCTGGTTTCATATAGATGAGTTGCAGCCTGCAATCTGATAAAATTAGTTTCACTTAAAGGTAAATCGGTGATTTTGAAAGTTCTATATATTATATAAATATATAATTATATATATATATATATATAAGAATTGGTATATTAATCTCTTCTTTCTCCTTCTCTTGAATATATATAAGAATTGTTTAATCTCTCTTTCCCTCTCTTGGAAACCAACTGATTCGAACCAAACTCTAACGAACTCAAATGCAGCTCTGTAAGAACATGCTCAAACTCAAACTTGAAACATATCAAACCAAATATAATTTTGGTTTCAGTGTAGGTTTAATTAAGCTTGATTTATTAAGCTAACTCATGAGCTCAGTCTGAGTCGAAAAAATTAGCTCACAAGCTGGATAACTCATAAACTATTGTGAACTAACTAAACTTACCGAACGAACTCATGCAAAACTTTTATTGAGCAGCCTCGTGTCATTACAGCCATACTAGCAATTGCCAAGGCACTCGAATCAAAATTATTACCAGACCTAGTTATAGCACTAGAAGAAACAGAACCAACAGCAGATTTCTTTTATTTCACCATTGATCATTACAAGCAGTGCCCAAACACAAGCCATTAGAATCAGACTTCTTTAGTGATTTATAATTAAATTCATCAATTTTTCCTTTCAACAAAAGAACAGAGATGAAATCACTAAACGATGAAACAAATTATAATATTTTGCACTACTATAACTTAAACACATGCCCGCATCGATGTAATATCAGAATTTTGTTTTAAAAATAATAAAAAAAAAAAGTAAAAATACACAATAAAAGAGAGTAATTTCAATCTCCCTTTTCTATTTCAATAACAATTACAATCTAGGTAAAAGATAAAACAATATTTTGATTGCCGACGATTTGCCCAAACCACAGCCTTTTAGAATTTGCAGAAAATAAAGCTGTTGAACTTGATGAAAATAGCCTGGGTGAGAATTGCACTGCTCAAAACACCAGTGTCTTGGATTCTGTACAAACAATTGTGGTTTACAAGTAAGAGTTTAAGACCACCAAAGCTTGTAATGTAAATAATTCAAACAACTCAGGCTCACAAGAACAAAGTCAAGCTTAATGTAAGTACATCTTAATATTTTACTTGAGTGGCTTAGCCTAAAATAATATTAACTTTCATATGATTTTAATTATACTTTGTATTGTAAATAATATTTATATCATAATATTTTACTTGATTAGCTGCCTAATCAAATATTAACTTTCATATGATCTAATCAAATATTAACTTTCATATGATTTTAAATATATTTTGTATTGTATATAATATTTATATCATAAATATTTTACTGATGTGGCTTAACCTAATCAAATATTAACTTTCATATGATTTTAAATATATTTTGTATTGTATATAATATTTATATCATAAATATTTTACTGATGTGGCTTAACCTAATCAAATATTAACTTTCATATGATTTTTAAATATTATTTTTCATTGTAGATAATATTTATCTCAAAATGATTTATCAATTCAAGCTCAAGTTCAAAACTCGAGTTTATTCGTACTTCATGTTAAATTTAACAAATTTACTTGCTTAATTTTGTAATATCAATAGAGTCAAGTCAAGCCCAGCTCAAAGTACTTTGAAGATTTGTTCGAGCAGAAAATTAAAACTCGATTAAGCTTAAATTAAGTTTCAAGCCTCGAGTTTTCTATCAAGACTCGAGCTTTGCTATGTATATTAACTCAATGCGGCTCAATTGCACCCCCATAATCACAGCATGGAAGCAGATCCCATAACAATGCAACTTAAGAGAAAGGTACTTTTGCAACGGCTGAACTGTGAAATAAACACTATTCTGCATCAGAACTTACCAGACTTCAAAGTAGGGATTTGTTTATCAGAATTTCCAGTGACGCCTCCTTCAATGGACTTTGATTTGCTCATTTCTCCTTTTTTCTTCTTCCTCATGGAGCTCCAAGAACCTTCAACTGTGACATGAGAAAAAGTATTTCATCTTAATGCACAAAAAGTAATGTTTGCTTATTATAAGTGCATTTCAAATGTCATAGATGATAATCTCCTAAAGAATCTAAACAAAATATCAAAACCATCATGAGATAGGATAACACCAACTTGCACAAAATTTTTTGTTTCGATTGAGTTAACCATTATTTTTAGCCATTGAAGCTATTTCGGAAATTCCGAAAAAACAAATGTTCCTTTACATTGAAAAGGCATCAACTGCAAAATTAATAAGCATTTTATTGTCTTCAAAATCCTACCTTTATAATCTGTCAAACCTAAGTTGTTTATTTGTATCAAACATTGAACAATTTCTACGAGAGTTCAGGCATATAAAGCAATAGATCTGCAAGCCACTCGAATGCTCAATCAAGAATGAATTTGCTTCCATAAATGATCTGAGGTCTGAGTGCTAGATGAAGCCCTAGGTCAAAAATTCCAGGCACTAACTACTGCACTTAATAATTCAACCTATAAATATTCAGTTGGCTGCATCATAACTGATAAAAGAAATGGATACATGAAATAACCATAAATATAATAGAAATTAGTACATTGAAGTAAGAACATTCTATGAATTAAAAGGAAAACAGACCAATCAGTTCCCATACCTTGCCATTCCCACACAACTTTTGAATCACCCTTCACCAGCTTAGGATATCGATCTACTCGAGAATCTTCCTGTACCAACCCCTCAACCTGCAATAGAACAGAAATTAGTATTTCCTTTTATAGTCGTTTTTCTAGTTATCTGAATACTGGGGTTAGGAGTAGAATAGCATAAACAATTGTCAGGTACAGAAGCATTGAATCATAGAGCTTAAAAACAAAAGAAAAATGATATCAGCAGGGTTTTAAATATCGGCTGAGACGTGTTACATGTCTACCAGTATGATATTCCCTTTTATGCTACAGACATATCACATATACTTTTTAAATGAATCTTGTACTAAATTATTTCTTCGACATAATATTTTCACCATAAGTTATTAGACACTAGTTTATAATGATATTTAGTTGAAGTACTCATTTAGCGTATATTTGAATTATTTTGCTAGTTTTAAGAAACTAATAGCAATGACTTGTTCAATCTGATTCCAACTGTTTCCCATTCTATTATTCACAATTCTAGCTATGAGGTTCAATACAAGGGACAAACTGGACTCTGAACTGTTGTATTAATAAATGATTTCAAAATATTAAAGGTTTCACTGTCAGAAAAAAATATAAAGCAAAAGAAATCAAAACCTCAGTGTAGGTTGAGTCATCCTAATGCTAAAAGTTCCAATTCCATTATAGACAGCAAGTGAGAATAGGGAAAACTTTTAAGTGGATAACATCATGCAACATCAGAAAATAAATACATTTATAACCAAAGTCATTCCAATTAATAGTACCCTTTTCCACAACACAGAATCCTTCCTTTCTTTGGGTAAAAGCAGATGATCTCTTAACTGAGAGGCAACCAACCAAGGCTCACATTCACCATTTGACTTCTTTGACAGCAAAGCATTCTCTTCAAGTATCTCACAAACCTAACAAATAGGAAAAACCTGCATCAGTGGTTTTTTTCAAAACTAACAATGGGATATCAGTGGTTAACCCCATGAATACAATGAAAGCTATCAGTTACTTCTTCTGCCTTTCATGCACATAATTATCTTCCAATGTACCCATAGTAACATTGACTTTTAGGGCCAGCAAAACCTGAAAACTTAATCCCTTGTGAAAAACCAACTCCAAGGATGAAAGTTTTAACACTCACAAAATAGGTAATTAGTGACGAAAAATGATAAGTGTTCTAGCTACCATGTATTAATAATGTGGTATAAAAATTAAAACATGTATATAGCTTACAATCAACCATCTTGAAACAATATCACTAATCAAAGCAACACGCAACCAAATAATAAAACCTTACTTTCTATCTATTACATTTATTAGTACTTAATTCTTTCAATATAAAGTTTCATCTTTAACTTGTAACTGAAAAAACATTGCTCCAGGGAATCAAAATCATACGTGAAATAATACTTGTGAAATTAAATCAAATAATCGGGTCTTGAAAAATAATGCATAACAATCTCCACAATAGTCTAAATTATGACAGGTTCCAAACTCAGACGCTGAGAATCAAACAACTTGGTGCTTTACAACAATAGATGACAGCCTTTGGATACCTGTTGGTACAGCTCTTCACTTCTAGCTGATAGATACCATCTGCGTTGGACTTTCCTAAGTAATAATGTACATCCCACAACCTGTAGATTCTCAATGCTATGAACAAACTTCAACACTTTATGCCTAAATAAAGCAACAAATGCCTGCTTTTAGAAAATTAATTACCAGTGCACATAGAACTGCAATAACAAAAGCATGGTTGGAGATCCATTGGAATAGGCGGCAGGTAATGGGTTTATAGTGTTCTGCAACCAGGTCTGGACACTTCAACTCTTTTTGCCTGCAAAACGTTTTTACACGGTCAAAATGATTGAGGCACATAAAACCAAAGGACTCAAAGCTTTCATCAAATTTCAAGCATAAATTGAGGTGGAAATAGCATACCCATAAGAATTCGTCCTCAGCTCCAATAACCTACCAATGATCTCCATTGCCCTCCGTTTGGCATACGTATAAATAGCACTATCTTGCTTTAAATTTTCCATCAGTTGGTGTTCGTCTAAACCATCCCAAATATCATCTTCTTTCGCCTGTCAACGAAAACCTTATTAATAAGTCAGCTGCATATCAATTGAACATCCATAATGTTCATCAGTATAAGCAAATAACAGTCTAAACAGCTTTCAAACTTAGGAGAGCTGCAAAAGACACATACCCAAATTGTACCAGCTCCCTTGCATAAAAATTGAGCATAAGCTTCACAAAGTCGAGTTTCCACCCAGTCTGACTGCATTGTACAGCACATGAATAAAGGAATTTAGAGAAATATGATAAAATTTCAGAAAAAAAAAAGTGTTTCTTTGATGCTTAGAAAATTAGTGTACCGTAATGAACAAGATTCTTAGAACAGACAAGTTTCTTAGCTATTTCATTAATATCTCCATCTTCTATACACATGTTTTGATGCTTTCTATAGCCACGAATGCATTCCAATTTGCCTTCAGTACATTCTCCATGTCTTGGACAAGGCTCACAAGAATCTGAAAACAAAAATGCACTCTGGTTGAGAGGGAATATTGGCATGGGCAATAAGCACCGTAGAAAGAATGACTCCTAAGGGCTACGGATAACACATTTGCAATACAATACTGTTCATTAAAAATATATAGAAGAAATGGATGCACAAAGAGATAATAACATATGCTTAAAAATACCAGATGTAAAAACAGGCATTTGCATGGAATTATACAAGAGTGGCATCATGGTCCTATTCACAGGAAACATGTAACAGAACAGTAGAGAAATGTAGAAATAATATAAAGCACATGTAAATGTAATACCAGGACATGATTTTAATGCAGTACCATCTATCAAAAATTACAAAAAGGCTCAAAGCTAGTCATTTTATAAAACCCGTACAACTACAAAGTCATACATTCAACAACATTCTACTTTAAAACCTTGTTTCCACAATGAGCAAAATGATCATACTATCTCATGAATGTAAATTGACCAGAAAGTACTTTATCGGTCAAAGTCAAACCCATAACCTGAAGTTTCAGGTTTTAACCTGTTAACAGTTAGCAATCATCTAAAATATATTTTCTAATAAATTCCAAAACTGTAACCTCTTATCTTCACAAGGAATGCCAATATACTGGAAGTTTTATGCACTAAAAGAGAATTTCTAGTAAAGCATCAGAGATAGAGACATATGCAACAAATGAACCTACAATAAACCAGATAACTCAAGTTTGGCCTTTCTTGAAGTCACAACTGACAAACAACGATCAACCATGCTCAGTCTAATTTTTACATTCATCTAATAAAAAAAAGGAAAAAAAAAAAACAGAGGGAAAAAAAAGGCCTAACTAGAATAATAGCTCACACTATAAGCTTGTTAAATTTTATTTTAAGTTTGTATTCGAAGTACAGCTCAAACTGCTACTGGTTCAACTTAACTTGTTTATGAACATTAAACCTATAGATAAATTCAAGTGATTGCTTAAAAGGAAAAAATAAATCTAAAGAAAAATTGATCTAATGCTACTGCTTAAAAAGACAAAATTCACGGCAAGCAGAAACCAATAGGGAATATGACTCATCTACAAAATTCGTACTGAATAAAATTTCAGCACAACGGAAAGAAACCCGGAAGGAGAAACGAAAGAACAAAGGGAATAGACCAATTACAGCGAGGTACATGAAAATTAAAATAATCGCAAAATTAGATAGTACCCACCTGAGAAAGAATCTGGAGAGTCTATGTTGCTATCACAGAACGGCTTTGTGGTGGGACTGATGTAGCCGACAATGAAATTACAGGTTAAAGCCACTGAAGATGCGATTGCTAGCACTGCAATGAGTCTCAAGAACTCCCCCTTTGAAGGAAACAAGCTCTGAGGTGGTTCCATCACTGTAGAATGCGAAGAAGAAGATAAGTTGGGTTCAAGTTCGGGTTTACGGCTCTTAAAACCTGGTTTTGGACGCTTTTTAGTCATAGAAGACGTCGATTCAGAGAGCATTTTAATGGTTGTTTTCTGCTTCTGGGGAGAGTGGCACCGCTGAAGGAAAGAGGAGAGAACTACAGCAATTTTGAGCTTTTCAAGAAATACGATTCCCTAAATGAAGGTTAATCACACAATTCTATCAACGGTTTTTCTAACGCGTGCAATCTTACACCCGTTAATGCTCGATAAATACATCTCATTATTGTAGGGAACTGCAATTTTACATAAGAGCATGTTAAATTTGACCCGATTCAAGTTACTATAGTTAACCATACAATAAATTAAAGTCTCCTATAACTAATTAAATTCAAGTTACTATAATTAAGCCTACAATAAATTAAAATCTCATATACTAATTAAATCATTTTCTTCTCCACAGCCCGCCGATCTCACTTTTTATCTAATTTTAGATCCCTCCAATTTAATTAAGGCAAAATAATTAATTTGTTCTGAGGTTTGATCAAACTAATTAACTCGTCCTCGTATGTTATCAATATTAATTAATGGTCTCCGAGATTTAATTTTGTTAAACCCTTCGGTCTTTCCATCCATTTTTTTTTATTTTGTAGTTAAAAGATGTGAAAAGACAAAAATAACCTCACAATTAAACAAGAAAAGACAATAATACCCTCACTTTCCTTCTAATTTTCTCTCATCCTATCTCTAACTTTCCACTTCTCCAAACACCACAGATAACTCCAACCGAACCTCCAAATACAATCCCGCCGCTGATGACAACAATGAGAAAGAGAATTCCCTAATCTAGCAAGTTGGTCTCATTGTTTCCACCGACCACGATCCAACTCTGTCTCTTAGCCAATCAAGCTGACAAACTGCTGCTATGGATTGTGAATACACCTAAATAAAACAAAATGCAAATTGTCAATTTTAGTTCTGAAAATACAAAGATGAATGAATCTGAAATATATAATTCATATCAAATAGAGAATTATAAAATTTCAAATGAATCATAGAAAATATTGTACTTACCTCTCTTTCATTGCAGATCGGAACTTGAATAAGAACTTCATTGTCATAACCTTCACCATTAATCTCTGGCTTCAATTTCTTGTGCTTAATCCAAAAACATCCAAGACAGAGTACTAATCATTATAACCCAAGGAGCAATATAATCGACTTTAAATGATAGCCAAGCTATAAAAGACCATTAAACTAGACCTTCTTGAATATCCCATGGTGAAATAAGATTCAAGTTCCATTTCTTGAAATGTGCAATAATTTCTATTACCAAAGCTACTATTTATATAAAGACAAAAGTTTTGATAAATCTATACAACTTTCCTCTACTTCTTGGCTCTTCTTTGTTCATTTCAGTTAAAGCAATGTGTTTCTTGATTGAAACAAGTCTAGATTTGAAAGCTATGGCTAACCAAGAGATGCAAGATAGAGCTTTATAAGCTTTTAGAAGAAGAACCCATGAAAATTGCTTTGGACTCGCGTGACGGTTGGGAGAGTTGGATTGTCGTCAGTGGAAACCATGAGAGCAACTTGCTCGATCGGGGAATTCTCTTTCTCATTGTTGTCATCTGCAACGGGATTGTATTTAGAAGTTTGGTTGGAGTTAACTGTGGTGTTTGGAGAAGTGGAAAGTTAGAGATAGGAGGAGAGAAAATTAGAAGGAAAGTGAGGGTATTATTTTCTTTTCTTGTTTAATTGTGAGGTTATTTTTGTCTTTTCACACCTTATAACAGCAAAATCAGAAAAAAAATAGATGGAAGGACTGAAGGGTTTAACAGAAGTAAACCTCAGAGACCATTAATTAATATTGATTAAATACGAGGATGAGTTAGTTAATTTGGTCAAACCTCACGAATGAATTAATTATTTTCGCTTTAATTAATAAAATTTAACAGCACTTCACTAACCATTTTAAAGTTTCTTCTAAATATATATCAATTGTCAACAGGTTTTTTAATGAACGGCCTTCTGTAGAATTTGTTTCTAGTTGAAACCAAAGCTTTAGATAACTTTTTAACGAGTATAGAGACTTTATCATGCACAGATATTTTAGTGCATTTTATTTTCTTTTTATTATCTTTTTATCTAAAACTTTATCCTGCAAAGGTATTATAGTGCTTTTATCAGGTTTTTATTACCTGCATCTAAAACTTTATCTTGCAGAGGTATTTTAATGCTTTTCATTTTCTTTTTATATCATAGTAACTAATTGAAATAGAATCAAATACTGAATTAACATAAATTACCAGTCAACCATGATCTTTTAATACAATAAAAATAAAGCAACTCAAATCGACTGAAAGAAAAAGCTTACACGCTCTACTACAACAGTAAGTGTCGCCCCATTAAGCACATCATCCAAATAAATAAATCACATTTGTTGGTTGTCAATTGCACAAGATAGTATCTTCAGATATGATTTAACAATATGATTAATCTGGATACTAACCTGCTTCTAGATTAGTTTAGCCATCTATCCTATGCTAATTTACATATTCTCTATAAACTAGAGCACAAAAGAAACGGATATTACTAATATTAGATTGTAATCCAAATGTATGTTTGAAATTTTGACTTGGGATTTCATAATTGGAGTTATTTTGGTTTGCGAAAATCGCTGAATAAATAAATTTTAAGGATATATATGTGATTGTGTATTGAGTCCAATTTGAGTTTATGTCACCATTTATAGTAGTTTTCATTTTATTTTTTAAAGCATAAAAATAAACCATTTTTTGTTGAAAGAAGTTCTCAACATTTTATCATACTTATTTGGTGTTATATTATTTTTCAGAAAGAGTTTGATTTAAATGTGAATCCTATAGATAATATGTTGAATGAAAGTGATAGCCAAGAGATTATGGAACATATTTTCAAGCTATTTATAGGTTAATGCTTCCTATGTGAGGAAGAGGCTTTTATTTTTTATAAAAATTATGCAAAGAGACATGGTTTTTCATATAGAAAAAGCATGTTTATACTTGCACATGAAGAAAAAAGGTGGCGTGATTTTGTTTGCTGTTGTATAGGGAAGCCAAAAGAAAAATTAGTTGATTTGACAAAAGACCAAAGAAATAGAGGATCCATTAAATGTGAATGCAAAGCTCATACGCGAATTGTGTTGAAGAAAACTTTTGATTTTTTCCTAAAGAATGGCAAGTTGTTAAATTTGAAGAATAACACAATCATAATTTATTGTCTCTAGAGGAAGTTCATTTCCTTCTAATAAATCGCATTATATACAAAGAAGATGAAGAGCGCATTCGTTTGTATAAAGAAGGAGGTCTTTCTGTTAAACAAATTATTCGTGCGATGAAACTTGAGATGGGCGTTAAACATGGTCTTCTTCCCTTTCTTGCTAAGGATATATATTAGCTAATCAATAGGGTACGTAGAAGAGAGAAAGAAAATGATATCATAGATCTTGTGCAATATTTCAAAGCTATGAAAGAAGAGAATTCCAACTTCCAATATACCTTCATAGTTAATAACGAAGGAAGATTGGAACATATATTTTGGTCTTTAGCGTATTGTTTTGATTGGTGTAAAAATTTGGAGATGTTATTGTGTGTGATACAACTTATAAGGTGAACTTTTATGGAATGTCGTTTGGTATGTTTGTAGGAATAGATAATCATGGAAAGACAATATTATTTGGTTGTGCGCTAATTCAAAATGAAATTAGATGCACTTTTTCTTGGTTAATGAAGGTAAAAACATGTTTATATATTTTATAATTTAACTACTTTTTGTTTACATGAATAGCTACTTAGTAGAACTTATTTTGCAGACTTTTGTACCACTAATGAGGAGAGCTCCTTTGACGATTTTGACATATCAAGATCAATGGACGACTGAAGCTATAGCAAGTGAAATTACCAACTACGAAGCATGCCTTTTATATGTGGCACATTACTTTTAAATTTAGTGGTTGGTTTACTTTACGATCAATACTCAAATTGGTGCTCTGATTTGTACAAGCTATATAAGTTAGACACTTATATGAAATTTGAGCATCAATGGCCACTTATAATAACCAAGTATAAAATGAATGCAAATAAACATATTCTCGGTTTATATGTTTTAGGTGTCAAGATATCTTCGTCGTTCTTTTTTTGAAGGCATGGCCACAACAGGAAGATTAGAGAGCATCGATGCCTTTATGAAGAGATTTATAGCTTCTTGTTCTTGCTTTATCAAATTTATGAAACAGGTAAATTTAATTATTCAAATTAATTTATGCCAGTTATTTAATTTTTTTAATTTTATTAAATTATTGTAGCTTGAAAATATGAAGTACCCATAATTTAGACTTGTCTTTTAAGCATTGTTACTGTTAAATAATGGAAAAATGATCCTATTGAACAAGTCAACACCAGTTTATTGATTTCATTTAACCAAGTATTATGCATTTAATTAAGATATTTATTTGTTTCTACTAAGTCTTTGTTTGTTACTTATTTCTTAGCAATGATCTTAGTTGATAGGATATTATAGTTAGTGGAGCTAATACTTAGGAAGTGGAGAATATTCTTGAGTTTGTTGCATTTGTAACCTATAAATAGGCAATCCTATAATCGAATAATGCATTCAATTTTAAGTGTTCTTCTACTGTTTAAGTGAGCTATTGAGAGTAATATTTTTCTATTCTTTATTGAGTGTGTCTTTTGTCTTTTTGCTTCATTTGCTTCTACAATTTTGATATCAGAGCTTCTCACATTTTTGTGTAGTTTTGTTTGAGATTCTTTGTCGACATCATGACAGACCTACAAGATGTTGGCGGAATGGAAAAGCTTAAGATCAACAACTACAACACGTAGGCAACTTGCATAATCTCATATGTGCAAGGATAAGACTTGTGGGAAGTTTTCAACAATAATGAAGTGACACAACCAGAAGGCAAAGATGTAAATGGCACCCTGCGGAAGTGGAAGATCAAAGTAGGCAAGGCAATGGTCGCCTTGAAGACGAAAATTAAAAAGGATGTATTAGAGCATATCCAAGACACCACAACCCGAAAGCAAGCTTGGGACACATTCGCCAAGCTATTTTCAAAGAAAAATGACACGAAGCTTCAACTCTTAGAGAGTGAATTACTCTCAATAGTGCAACACAAGAGACAGTACAATATTTTCATAAAGTGAATATGTTATGCTGAGAAATTTCAGAGTTAAATCCACAAGCCCCGATTGGAGAGACAAG